TTGACTAAAAAAATGTCTGACTGAGAGTTTTCCAAAATGATGTGCTTGTAGTATAATGATCTTCGATACTTCTCTATAACACTAAATAAGCTCAAACATTTAAATGTTGTTGTACAAAATATACTATATCTATTGAATGTACACCAAGACATCATACAATCTTGAATTTGTTTTCGATAACGTTTTAAATTAGTGCAATTGCAGAATGAACGAATGTCAACAGGATTGATAAACACTTACTTTATTACGAATAGAACCCACACCCACACCCTCTATCTCACTAATCAATTCCAGTCATTTCTATTGTTTCGTTAACATTTGATGAAATTGAGTGCACATCTTAAAGTATTATTGTTTGTCCGTCTTCATAGTGTTTTAGTTGTCTAATCCTTTTATAAACATTTTGGAAATGTTCTAACGGACACCTCCTATCAACTTTTACAAAATAAACTCTGTCTTAATGAACAGTTTTGACTTGTATATTTTCCTCTTCTTTTGGTGCGACAATAATAGAATGAATTAATCAAAACACGTCATAAAAATGTTCACAAAGTAGATATCATTCGTTAAACTTTTTATGTTTATTAATAGAAATAAATGATTTTATGCTCTATAGAGTTTACAGGAAATTCTTCAAAGAAAATAAGAACAATATTACTTGATCTACTAAGAGATAGAAATGTTGAAAATATAGACAGAACTATTGTTTACGACATTCGTTATGTTATTCACTGCTATACAAACTAGATTTCACTTGGAATCGATCAATCATTAAATAAAATAAAAAAAACCTATTTACAAATTCAGAAGTTAGAGTAGTGTGGAAACAGTTACGTAAAAAAATTCTAATACATTTGTTTATAGTGTAATAGATCGTATCTATTTTAAATGAATGGAGTTTGTGCGCATAAGCAGATGTCTGAATAATTGAAAGACACGAAGATGACGATAAAAATATGATTGCTTGTAGATAAAAAATTATTCTGTATAACAATCATGAATTCTTATGTGATATTACAAGTCACCATAAATATGTACATCAAATTACATGCGTTCCTATTTTTTTTAAGGATCTACCTTTGTCTGTATTACACAGTATGAATGTAAAAAGAAATTGAGAATATTTCATCGAGCAAGTATCATTGAGTAAAAAGAATTTTGTATTAATATTTATCACTTCTAGCTTTATCTTCATGAGATGAATTACATTTCTATCTTCTAATTCTAACTATTCAACTTAATTCAAATTACAAGCTTAATTTTATTGATATGGTTGCATTGTATTGTAATATAGAAGATATACTCCCAAGTTTGACTTCAGTGTGAATTTCGAATTCTATTTTTGACTATTATATAAAAAATAAGCACATATTAAGCAAAGATTTCTTCATTATTCTTTTGACTGAAAATTCACACTGAGTCAAACAAAAACTAATAGAAAAAACAGTAAATTCAGTTGTGTTGTTTATATTTCAAACACTCATATCTATTTTTTTGTTTATTATCAATAATTTCGACTATGTTTATTTTCATCTATAAGTAGAAAATAAATTTTTCAGTTTTATAAGTATTAATAAATCGTATCTTTTTTTATCAATAAAACACAAGAAATAAAACAATATTTTCATTGATTTCTAATTTAAATCTTCTGAAATTATTTTTTCATATAGATTGATAATGGAATGTTTTAATATAGTACAAAAATTAAAACGAAAACGATGCGATAGATTTTCTTCTCTTTTTTCTTTGAAAGTCTTGTCTTTGAACAAAAAAAAAGCAGCACAAAAATTTTAATTATTGTAAAAGTAGAAAAATTACATTCAATAAACATGTTTACAAAAAATTAGATATTTCTTCTGATCGTATCAATTAAATTACAAATACCTCATGAATTTCATAGCAATATGAAATCAATGTTTATTTCTACTTCACACTTTTCTTCCATTTCAGTACCAATGCGTGCAAGTTCCATTGATATTCATCCAAATGCAACATGGTCAAAGAACGGTATCACTGTTGCTGGAGGAAATGGATATGGCAGTGCAATTAATCAACTCTATTACCCATTGGCTTTGTACGTCGACGACGATCTAACGATATATGTCGCTGATGCTGTAAATGCTCGCATTGTGGAATGGAAATCTGGTGCAACGAATGGAAAAGTAGTTGCTGGTGGAAATGAAAAAGGGAATGGAGCTCATCAATTAAATAGTCCACGAGATGTGATTATCGACAAAGAGAGCGATAGTCTCATCATCAGCGATTACGGGAATAACAGAGTAGTTCGATGGCCTCGTCGAAATGGTACTCGTGGAGAAACAATTACTTCAAATATCTCTTGCTGGGGTTTGACAATGGACAACAATGGATCTCTCTATGTCGTTGATGATAGAAAACATGAAGTGAGACGATATAAAATTGGTGACACTAAAGGAACAGTGGTTGCAGGTGGCAATGGAAATGGAAAACGTCTCGGTCAACTCTACAGTCCCCACTACGTATTTGCCGATCGAGAACATTCAGTATATGTGTCTGATCTCGAAAATAATCGTGTTATGAAATGGGAAGAAGGTGCACAACATGGCATTGTCGTAGCTGGTGGTAAAGGAATAGGAAATAGTCTTAAACAATTGAATGAACCTGAAGGAGTCATTGTCGATCAATTGGGTACTGTCTATGTGGCTGATTCTCAGAATCATCGAATCATGCGTTGGCCGAAAGGAACCACACAAGGAAGTGTCATTATTGGTGGAAACGGTGAAGGAGCACAGTCGAATCAACTCGCTTATCCCTTAGGTATATCATTCGATCGACATGGTAATCTCTATGTCATCGATTTCGGAAATGCTCGAGTACAAAAATTTAATATTGAATAAACTCAATTCGTATGATTAATTTTTTTTTCTTTGGTTCTTTTTTTTCTCTTTCAAATAAATCGTGATTGAATGAAAAAATGCATTCGAATTGATTCTATTCTCGCACGGGTGTGGGTGGGGGATTGCATGTCTTCGGAGAGTATCCCCGGAAACTCGATTATGTCCTAGGGTAAGATGTATAGAGATAGATAGGTATAGGAGGTATAGGAGGTATAGGAGGTATAGGAGATATAGGAGATATAGGAGATATAGGAGATATAGGAGATATAGGAGATATAGGAGGTA